CTGAGTCAGGCACAGCCACGTGTTTTAAAATCTGAACTGCACAGGGGCCAGATTCAAACAAGGAGCTGCCAAAAACTGGCTGATATAAGGGGACATCAGGGGCCCATCTATAATACACGACAGCTTCCTAAGAGAGCGACATGCATACTCAATCTTGTAGATGAGTATGTTGGTGGCTGCTTGATTCTTTTTGCTCCATATAATAATAATATCATCATCATTTCATCAGTGTCACAGTTGACAGATCTTTAGCCGTCACACATACCAGCAGTGTTCTGAGTGTTTTGCACACATTCATTTAGTGTAAAGTGCAAAATGAGTTGCACACCAACCCTCCGTGCATTCCTACCTCCAATCCTCACAACCTCCTGTCTTGTTCCAACCACTGCTGCGTGATCGGCTCCAATAGGCTCCAAGCATTTCTGCGTGGGTGCAGCCCTTCGTGACAGGCTCTGCTTCATGATTGTTACCTCCTGCCCCGGGGATTCCCTGGGCTCACAGGTGAACCCACAGAATCCTGTTCAGCACTCCCACATGTGCAACTGGGAAGTGCAAGGGTATTGCCCATCCAAGACGATAGATGCACCGTTCTGAGGCATGTGTCTTAAGGTCCCGGGCAACAAGCAGCCCAGTCATGCACTGTGGTCACCTCAGTTAGTCCCTCCCGCCCTCCAGGTTTCTCCCTCCCAGCTCTTCCCTTCTGTGCCCTAAGATCTCATTCCTATAAACTACTCACATGTTAACCTTTGTCTCATCCTCTGCTTTCAGGGGATCTAAGCTAGGATAGTTGGCATTATGGAATGAGTGTTTATGTCATCCCAAAATTCAGGTATTGAAGTTTTAACCTTCAATGCGACTGCATATAGAGATGAGGCCTTTATGGGGTAATTAAGGTAAAATGAGGGCATAGGGGTGGGAACCCCAGTCTGATAGGATTGGTGTTCTTATAAAAAGAGACCTCAGAAGGTGAACTCCTCTCTCTCTTTCTCTCTCTCTCTCTCTCTCTCTCTTTCCCCCCTCCCACATACAGGCACACAAAGAAGAGTTCATATGAGGACACAGTGAGAAGGCAGCTGTCACAGGAAACCAAGAAACCCATAAACCCTGGCAGCTCCTTGGTCTTGGATCTCCAGCCTCCAGGACGGTCAGAAGTACATGCCTATTGTTTAAGCCACCCCGTCTGTGATATTTTGAATGGCAGCCCTAAGAAACTAAGGTGATTGGTAAAAGGGATATCCCTGGAAAGAGTATGCTCGGAATAAAATACTAGAGCTGGGTCACTGACCAATCAATCAGATGGCCATAAAGATGCCACTGCTGTGGTGAGTGGGTTTGGACAGTCAGTCCCCGTGACTCTTGTCTGTGATTGATTAGGATGGGGGACAGGTGATGGTGAAGCATCAGGTTAGTGACAATCGTTAAGAAGGAAATGACATGTGTCATTCATTCTGCATGTATCACACCCATAAAATGAGCAACATCAACCTTGAACCCTGATGTAAAGTATGGACTTCTGTTCCTAACAATGTATCAATATTGGCTGATTCAGTTGTAATGAATGTACCCCCCTAATGCAAGACATTAATAATAAAAGAACTGTGCATGGGGGTGAAGGGAGGGGTACATGGGAACTCTCTGTACTTTCATTTTTCCTGTAAATGTAAAATTATCCTGAAAATTCCATCAGTTTAAAAGATAAAATACATTTGAATACGTGGAAGTTCATAAAAAAGAAAACGACAGGCCCAGATGAGTCAACGCTCACCTCAATGTGGACTCAAAATCACGGTCGAGGTCTTATGAAGAGAGGCAGAAGTGCGTCGAGGACTGTGTGCACAGGCAGGACGGGCCTGCTGTGCGGAGACCAGGGCACTCATAGGAAAGCATAGATCCCTCAGACCTTGCAGAGGCCAGGGAGGCTGGTGAATGAGCTGAGCCTGAGAATCTTGAACGTCAGATCTGCTAAACTCTCTGTGCTGGCACAAGCAATGCCCTGCTCTCTGATGGAAGAGAGAAGACTTCCCCACCTGGAAACTTGCAGACATCTCACCTAGAACGTGCTTCTCAGACGACAATGCCTGTCCTCCTCACTATCTGTTTCCACCCCATCCCCTTTGCCTCAGCAGAGCCTGTGTGGGAAAATAAAGTCCTTGATGTGAATGGAAATGACTCTGAAGGATGTCAAGACTTGGTGGATATGCACCAGCAGAAACTAGAACACAGAGGCACAGGGCAATCGGGTTGTAGGGCTGGTTGGGGAGGAATTGTTGACATGGGCAATCACTTGTAAGTTCCCACACCTGCTTTTATGGTTCCTTGAAGATAGGACAAAGTAGGTAGTGACATACAGCAAAAGAAGGGTGAATGACCCAGTGTGGTGGCTCATTCACATCTATAATCCCAGCACTTTGGGAGGCTGAGAAAGGAGGGTAGCTTGAGGCCAGGAATTTGAGGCCAACCTGGGCAACATAAGGAGCTCACATCTCTACAAAAAAACCAAAATAAAATAAATGAGTGGGGCAAGCTTGCAGTCCCAAGTACTGTTGCAGCTACTCGGGAGGCTGTGCTGGGAGGATGGCTTGGGCCCAGCTGTTCAAGACTGCAGTGAGCAAAGATTGTGCCACTGCACTCCAGCCTGAGTGACAGAGAAAGAGAAAGGAAGGAAGGAAGGAAGGAAGAGAGAGAGAAAAAAAAGAAAGAGAAAGGAAGAAAGAAGAAAGAAAGAAAGAGAAAGAAAGAAGAAAGAAGAAGAAAGAAAGAAAAAGAAAGAAAGAAAGAGAAAAAGCAAGCAAGCAAGCAAGCAAGCAAGCAAGCAAGAAAGAAAGAAAGAAAGAAAGAAAGAAAGAAAGGAAGGAAGGAAGGAAGGAAGGAAAAAGGAGAAGAAAGAAAGAGAGAGACATGAAGACATGGCAGAAGATGTGACAGGGACACAGTGAGGATGTTATAAAAGATTGATTAAAGTGAATATCCCGGTGCCATATGCAGTGTCTTCACAAGACAGATCAAATCCTCAACATTGGAGCAATCTGTCACCCACAGCCGTGGCCATCTTAACACACATCCTTTGGTTGGCCCTCCCACCTCCCCGACTCTGTCTCCTGCTGTCTGGGATCCCTTTCTAAGATAAGCAGCTCAGCCAGGTGCAGAGGCTCAAGCCTGTAATCCCAGCATTTGGGGAGGCTGAGGTGGGTGGATCATGAGGTCAGGAGTTCAAGACCAGACTGGCCAACATGGTCAAACCCTGTCTCTACTTAAAAAAATATATATATAAATTAGCTGGGCATGGTGGCTCATGCGTGTAATGCCAGCTACTTGGGAGGCTGAGGTAGGAGAATTGCTTGAACTGGGATCTGGGAGGCAGAGGTCGCAATGAGCCAAGATCGTGCCACTGTACCTGCACTCCAGCCTGGGCTCCAGAGTGAGACTCTATCTCAAAAAAAAAAAAAAGAAAGAAAGAAAAAAAAAAAAAAAAGAGCAACTCAGACAGATAGATCCATTTGTCCACACTCCACCTTGGGGAGCACCTGGGCGGATTCTGTCATTATCCTTATTTTGCAGATGAAGAGATTGCAGCACAGAGAAGCTGACTAGGTTGACTGAAGTCACACAGCTAATGAGTGACTGAGCAGGGCTGTGACTCCAGGCCACCTGAATTTCAAATCTGCACCTTTCACCATGATGCTTAGTTAGTCAAATAAGACAGGACAAGTTGGAGAAACACAGACCTCATTCCTGCACATCCTAACCCATAAATTCTGAAGTCTTGAAACAATTTTCTCAATTGCCCCAGTCTAAAATTTTTCATCTAATTTTTAAAAATTGGAACTCGTGTTAAATCATCCAAATAATTTTTCCTTTGCTTCTCTTTTCTTTGACTCTATAGATCCGGTTTCTCTTATCTCTCTGATACTTTACTATCTTCTCCTCAACGATAATAAAGCCACTTAAATTATTGCTAAAAAGTTAGAACTTTAAAGCAGCTTGGAAAAAGTACTATTCAAAGAGGCAGAGCAAGTATTTTGAGCAGCTAGACAGTCACAGGTAGCACTGGGCACATGATATGGATATTTATTGATCTAAACCATGCCCGAGGACCAAAGAATAAATTAGTTAATTGTTTTCATTGAATTCCCTTTGAAAACTTTTTATTTCAGAAGAAAAACTCTTACAGAAGAAAAATAAGCATTATTCTCATTTCGAAAAGAAAATGGAGTAGCAAATATCTGTGTCACTTGGAAACTTCTTCCTTGGCTTCATGGTGCCACTTTCTCTAGCATCTGCTACTTCTTAATCGTTTTCCTGGACTCTTTTGCTGCCTTATACTTTCTCTGACCATGACCATCCCTCAAATGTGGGTCCACCTTGGGAATCTGACCCCAGCGCTTGCCCTTGCTATGCTCACTAAGAGGTCTGTCAGCTGGGTGAAATGACTCACACTTGTAATCCCAGCATTTTGAGAGGCCGAGGCAGGAGGATTGCTTGAGCCCAGGAGTTCAAGACCAGCCTGGGCAACAGAGAGATTCTGTCTCTACCAAAAATTAGAAAAAAAAAAAAATTAGCTAGGCATGGTGATACACACTTGTGGTCCCAGCTACTCAGGAGGTTGAGGTAGGAGGATTGCTTGAGCCAGGGAGGTTGAGGCTGCAGTGAGCTATGATCAAAACACTGTGCTCCAAACAGGGTGACAGAATAAGACCCTGTGTCAAAAAAAAAAAAAAAATTAAATTAAAAAAAGAGGCCGGGCATGGTGGCTCACACCTCTAATCCCAGCACTTTGAGAGGCTGAGGTGGGTGGATCATGAGGTCAGGAATTCAAGACCAGCCTGACCAACATGGTGGAACCCCGTCCCTATTAAAAATGTAAAAATTAGCCAGGCATGTTGATGCACACCTGTAATCCCAGCTACTCAGGAGGCTGAGGCCCCAGAATCACTTGAACCCAGGAGGCGGAGGTTGCAGTGAGCCAAGATAATGCCACTGCACTCTAGCCTGGGTGACAGAGTAAGACTCCATCTCAAAACAAAAAAAAAGAGGCCTCCTGTACTCCACAACCCCTCATCCTGGGTCCCAGCCCACAACACACACACACACACACACACACACACACGCACTTCAGCCAAACCCAACTACTTACTACTACTTACTAAGACACCAAACTCCTCCATGTCTCTGTTCCATGCAAGGAAACAAAAAGGGATTTCTTTTCTTCTTTCTCTTTAATTCTTATGCATGAGTCCCAAGGTTTATATAAGATTTTAGAGGAAAAGTTTATTTCAAGGACCAAGAAGTTTTTCATCTCTCATACAGTCCTGCACCTGCATGCTCAAAGCCAGTCGGTCCTCAGCTGTTCTGGAGTTCAGCACCAACCATGGGGAAGGTTGTGTCAGATGCTGGGCCTAGAAACATCTCCCATCCCTTCTGCTCACATTCCATTGGAAGGAGCTCAGACACTTGCCAGCAAGGGACTCTTGAAACATAGTCTCCAACTGAGAGGTCACATATTGGGCTGGACCATTACGTTGAAAGAATAGGAAGATAGATTTGGTAGGCAGCCAGCTGTCTGCCCACTGGGATGTGTTCACAGTTCTTGGGTTCATGGTGCAGCAGAAACTTTAGTCCAGTTTCCATAAGAGAAATAAGGAATAAAGGGGAAAAGAAGATCTGATTAATTCAAATAAACGATAAACAAAAAACTATTTTACCTATGTACAAGATTATGAGCCTGAATGTTCCACATATTTTCTTCAGATCTCTGTTTTACTTAGAACAACTTTTTGAGAATGAAAGGCACAACACCTTTCTGAGCATATGGCCATGGGACTCATCTAAGAAGAGTAATAATGGCTAACGAAAATGTTTCTGCATGACACAGAGGGTCAAGGACATACCCAGGATGCCTCCAAATCTGAAAACGATGCCAAGTTGGAAATCAAAACAAAATCTAAGACTCTCCAAGGCAAAACATAAGGGCCTTAGACACACATATGGTTTCCATCTCTAGCTGAAAGAGCTGGATCTAAACGGAGTTTCAAAGCACATATGCAGTTTCATAAATAGAATTAGGTATATCAGGATACCTTCCAACCCAGAAGTTTAGCAATGTCCTTTGCACAACTAAAGATCTGCTGTTCTGAAATCTAGTCTTTGCTAAAGTTTCCTGGCTGGTCTTGAGTCCTCATAAAATTTGGTTTTCACATGTGTTTGGGGGAGATTTAAAGACTTGCTTTGTGAGAAGGCTAATGAGAATGCCAGAATTTTCATTTTAGGGTAAAGGGTATAAACTAAGCCATCCATAATTTGAACATTTGAAAAAGATCTTCAAAACATGCCTTTTGGAACTGACCTCTCAATAAAATGTAACTTCTGTCCAAACGGTTTGACCAATGAGACAGTAATCATAGTTTAAACTAAGCCATTGCTATGGTCAGGAAGAATTTACAAAATCTAGAATTGTAGCTGTTTCCAATTTCATTGTCAAAACACAATATCCAGCCTGCACTAAGACCGTAAATCTGAAAATATAAAAGACAATTTAAAAATTATGAATCTAAAGTGTGAACCTAATTGTTTCTATTTTCTCCAAATTTATTGAGCCACTGGTCAAGTCTCAATTTTATCAAGGTAGTGACACACACATGGAGAAGGTCCTAATTAAAGGATTTTGTTTTCAGAAAGTTTATATCCTGCCTATTTCATTTTATAAGATGTGCTATGTACACACTCCACTTCCCAATCACCCTCTGTTTGAGGGGGGAGTGTTGTGATGATTTGCTTTCAATTAGTTTTGGTTTGGGATTGGGTGACTTATTTGCTCAAACTCATGATGCAATTCTTCTCATTGCTATTGTCCTAGGGAAAAAAGAAGTAAAAGAAAGCTAGAATCATGTTTATCCTTCAAATTGGTCAGTTGACCCAACTTTCATATTTTTTATAAATTTTTACCCCACCAGCACTAGATAAATAGAATAGTTATTCAAATTATTCATGAAAACAATTCTATTTGAGATCTCTCAAATTAACTATATAAGCTGTACCAAAAAAAAAATTCCTCTAATAATTCCCAACCTGTTCATTTGCTTGACAGTAATTGTCTGGATTAGTTAATCTACTCTGTGAGGCAAAGGCTGGAAACCAGCCAGTGTGCAAGCCTTGTGGTTAACTTCTTGAAAATTTGTTTTCCATATGAACTCAAGATAGCGCAATTGCTAGGTGAATTCAAAATTCTTTCAGACTCATCTACAAAGGTAAGGCGAAGGAGGTATAAATACCTTTTTGCCAATATCCATGTTCTCCTCTGGAGCACAGGTTCTCTTGACTTACAGGATTTGACAGTTGGAAGCATCCTTCATTCACTCTCTCACTTACAGTTGATGACAATGAGATGGAGAGAGGTGATGTCACTTGCTCTGCAGGGTTCACGACACTTTCTGACTCCCATACCAGCGCTCCTTATCACACAATCTGCTGCCAAACTCATCCCAAGATTCATCTTGAGGAAAGCCAGTTGTGGAAATCCTGAGATCACATTGTCAATGCCAGAACAACTTTAGTTTGTAGGGGAGCTTTTGAAAAGCTGATAGGAAGTCACAGAAATGGAAAATGTGGCCATTTCAAGACACTGCCGAAGGAAGAGGAAATTCTCAAGGGAAGAGGCTCACGCACAGGCTGCTGTTCTTCTGAGATAAGCTAGCAGGAATCTTCCTGAAGAGCATCCTGGAAAGAAAAGGAAAGATTTCTTTGCTTATTCTCTCCTTTACCAATAAGAGAGGTAAACGTTGGCAAATCAGCAACATGGAGAATTGGCATATTAGTTCCGGGGGCTCTCACTTATTCACCTGTCAGAGATGGGTTACTGAACACAGTCGGCAGTGCCTGAAGCTCCTTGCTGGGGGAGCAAGTCGTGACCAACCTTTCCCTTTCTGAGAGGTTTCAGATGAAGGAGGATCCTCTTGGTCTTCGAAGACGAAGCCCCAAGAATCAGAGAAAGGTGGCATTCAGACAGCACTTCTGCCCTTTGGTTAGGAGTATTAGAAGGAGGTTTTCTTTTAGCAAAGGATATGCCCTTATATCCCAATGCTGGTTTCATGCTGCCTTCTAATAAAGGGGTTTTCTAGAAGCAGCGTCAGTAATACACCAGAGCAGGACTTTTCACTTGCATTTTCATGGGTAGTTTGGGTTCTTCAGGAGCCTTCATGATGTAGAGCTGCTGTTCTGTGACTGGAATGTCCACGCCCACAGGAACTGGATCAGAGAATATGGAACAGAGGATTAAACTACACACAACATATGCAGGCTTAGCCGCCCCAGATCTCGCCATGTGTGTGCCAGGCGGTGAGCTGCATTAGATGATACTAACCACCTCTCTTCATGAACAGAATCTCCTATGATAACTGATAGGTTCACTCTCTTAACTCACGGTCACCATCAGATCAATAAATATTCATTTTATGCTTTATTAGGCACTCTGTCGGCACTCTAAGCTTCCAAGAGTAGAATATGATGTTAATTCTCTGCTATCTGAATCTTACTGGGGGTTTCCTTCTCTTCCCTTCTCCTTCTTCTCCAACCGCTAGTCTCATTTTGCCAAGATTAAGAACAGATTCACAGTAGAACAGAATGGACACCAAGTATCTTCCAGGGATTTTTGAGCCTGGTGTGATATGTGTTTAATTGTTATGTCTGGTGATTACTAATGGAGACAGAGCCTGAGATTCTCCACTGCTTTGAAAGGCGGAATGGTAGCATATGGATTCTGCACCGCACTATCCTTTTAACTAACCTGCGGGAGCACCTGTGTCAGGCTGAATTGTTCCAGAACAGCATATCAATTAGGCAAGCAGAGGCTTGAGGGGTTTTTTGCAAACCTTCCTACCAAATGCTTCTCTCCAATTTAATCTGTGGGTCTTTCTATTTCAGTACCTGTCACCTTATTACCTAGTCTCTTCGAAATGATGACCACCTAAGAAAAAAACAACAGAAATAAGTGAAGAATACAAAAGAAAAAAATAATCTTTCTTCTTCCAAAACATCCTCTGATCAGCAAAACTTTGGAAGCTACAAAATACCCAGAAATACTCCAGTGGCAGAGCTGAATAAAACCATATAAATTTCCATATGATCTGTGTTTGCTGGGACACACTATGCTATGCTCTAGTAACAAATAAAGGTCAAAGTAGCAGGGGTTCAGCCTTACAGAAGCTTGTGTCTTGCTCATGCAAAGTCTGGTGCAGGTCAGCAGGGCCCTCTTCCATCTGGTGTCTTAGAGATCGAAGGTCTTTCCATTCTGCATTGCTATCATTTCAACACCAGGCTCCCAGGGGAAGAGAGAGCATGGGAGACTCTTAAGTGCCTCAGAACACAAATGATATGCCTCTTTACTCAAAGTCCACTGGGCAATGCTGGTTAGATGACCTTGAACCACGTTCAGGGCAACCTGAGTCTCCCCATGTGTTCAGGAATAAATACCCGGATGTGGTAAGCACTAGGTATCTCTAGGGCTTCCAACAATGGCCCAACTCATACTCTGTGGAGCAGATGTTTTCATTACAACCATCTTCACAATTGTTAGCAATGGCCACATCTGACAAGTAGCCAGTCCCATTGCCTTAGGACTTCCCAGTGACCTCACCATAATCCCAAGGCCCTGCCTGCCAAGCCCGCATGAGGGACCCGGACTTCTCATCACCACTTTCAACAGATCGTGGCATTGGTTTTTGACCTGGAGATTTAGATTAACTTCTGCTGCATCAATACAGTCACCAAAACATTAAGAGTAACAAGAGAAAAAAGACTTAATTCTCCAGGATCTCTTACAGCATGAGAAATCAGATTTTGGTGAGGAAAATACTTTCATAAATTGGTTGGGTATAAAAATCACAAATGTTGAGGAATCATGTGTTAGACATAAAGCTGACGTTATCCCAGAGGAGGGAGAAAAAAGGCAAAAAGCATGGGCCTTTTCTAATCAAAGACTAGGGGGATTCCTAGGCTTGAGAATGACCTTCCATGAAAATAGTGGTGTGGACTAGGAAGGTGACATTCAGGCACTGAGGTGAAGGGAGGGTGGAGGAAGAAAGCATTAAGGAAAAGAAACTGCAGGAAGGACTCTGAGTTCTGCCAAGGCCATGGAATGAGAATTCCACTCAAATTTGACCAGATCCTCTAGGGCAGGAGCCCAGCTGACCCCTGGCTCACACAGTAAGGAACTTAACTCGACTGGGTATGGACTGGTGAAGCCCTCCAGGCAAGCCACAGGAAAGCAGGGGTAGCTGGGTAGACTCGTTTCTTGCTGCCCTTCAGCTGTCTCACCCTTACATCTGCTGAACACCTGCAGTGAAAGTAACCTACTTTCATCTCTTAGGGGACATCCCAGTTGGCCTTGTGACATGTGGGAATTGTGTTTCACTCCCTCCAGCTCCCCTCCCCTCTGCGCTACACACAGAGCTTGAGAACTAGGACCTAGAGAAATTTGCCTTCTCCCCGGGACTCAGCACTGCATCTGGCCTATCACGGATACGTACTCACCTTCTTCCCTAACCTATCAGGTGGGGGTGGTGACAGAGATCATACAGGATACAGGAGGGGCAGTGCGGCACAATGACTGGCAGCAGGGATAGGGCATGTGGTCACACTGGCGTGGACCACAACTTCGATCCTAATTTCTAGGAAGAGCAATCATCTCTTAGGGCTGTGCTGGAGACTAAGTGAGAAAAAGAATATAAAACTAAGTGTCAGAGCCAGCATACAGTGAGCCTTGGAGAATGTTGTCTGCTTGACTAGCTAATGCCTTCTGAGAGTGTGGACAACAGAGAAAAAAAAAATAGCTATCTTGGAGGTGAATCGCCCAGAAACCAGCCCAGTTGGGCTGGGAAAATATTGGGAAATGAACAAATCAGCGCTGGGAATCCTCCAAGTGACCTGGAGCAAGACGGTCTCTCAACATGAGAAAGTTCACTTTGACTTAATGAGAGACTTAACAACGATTGAGAAATGCAGGCATCAGCCAAGTGAACTGGGAGATGTGAAAAGGCAGGGGAAGGCAGAGGCACTTCCCAGAAATCTGGAAAATACACAAACGGCAGAGATCATCAGTGGTGGCCAGTGTGTTCCCCACTTCTACAGTACTTGTTTTTGGCAGGCACTGGCTGACAGTGTAGAGACAGCTAGGTCTGGCCCTCGACCCAGGCCCAGCCCATGGGATGTAAGTGAAAGTGTGTGCTGTAGCTGCTGGGAACCTTCTTTAAGAGACAGCAGGTGTCTGCCCTTTGCCACGTCCTCCTCATTCCTCTTTCTTGCTAGTGGGGATGCAGGCGTGATGGGCAGCACTACAGCAGTCATCTTGGACCTAGATGTATCCTGGGGAATAGAAGCCCATGTGGAACCAGAAGAAAGAAGAAGCGATGAGCAATGGAGGCCAGACACCCCAGCGTCCAGTGTGTCAGATAAGCAAAGTTGCCCTCAGAAAAAAGAGGGGAGGAGGGTGTCCAGATTTTTATGTAAGAAAGAAATAAAACTCTGTCTTGCCGAAGCCACAGTTATTCTGGATCTCTCATTTTATGCACAGTCTAACTCAATCCTCAAAGGTAGTAACTTACTCTACCTATGTGGCCGTTGATGACATTTCCACTTACCAGCCTTGGCTGTTCATTATATTTCTATTCAATTGTTCTGGGATGCTAGCATTTATTATAACATTAATCTTATTTTAACAGTGTTATAATCTCACTCCCATTTAACTGCTCTTCAAAATGAAGATTGAATGTCAGTTCTACTATTGTCCGTCTTGCCTGGATATTGTAACAGTTTTCACAGATCCATTTTTCAAAAAGCGGGGATGGAGGGAGCAGAAACAGAGCTTCTCAATTTTGCCTAGAGCTGGCCTAAGGAACACCTTATTCTGCAGTGGGAACACATACAAAGAAAATATTATTTGAAAAGGATTCTGGCCTCCCTTTATCCAAAAGAATCATCTCCTAACACGAACTTGGCATTCTCTGTTACTCTCCCTATGTAAATTGGTTTCCCTTCTGGGTGAGCAGTGATTTGCAGAGATCACCGGGTGCGGGGCAGCTCTTGATACTGGGCGGGGTTGGCAGGGGCCATGCTGCACGTTCAGACAGCTCCTCTGCCTCCGTGGACCGGGAGAGACCGCCTGCTGGCTCTCTGGATTGTGCTACCGACCCAGGCTGGAGAATGAGAAAGGAAGGCATGAGAAGTGATCCCAGCCAGGTGGTGCTCAGCACTGCTGCATGTCATTGTCTTTCTGACTGATGGGAGGTCACCTGGTAAGGGCCGGGGCTCCCACCCCTCCACTGTGACTGCCTCTGTCGGGCAGGCCCGGAATATGAACTGATCTGTTATTTAGTTGGAAGGGATATTTTTAACACCTTGTGTGTTTAGGTGGCTTTATTCTTTCACCAGCCTTCACAGGTATGAGTCTAGGTAATCTTCATAACGGCTTTTGGAAAGTAGGCCTGGAGGATACTGTTCTCAGTATTTCCAATGGAGGAAATCAAGGCTCTGAGAGTCGCCTCCTGTAACTTCTGTAGCTGGAGCCCTGCTCCCTCTTGCCTGGCCTCAGGACAGCCAGGAAGCTGGGACAAGTGCATGGACGGCAGCTGGGAGGAGAGGCTGGCAAGAGGCTCCGGGTTTCTCCATGCACGCTGCCTTCCCTGGCACAGTCTCTGCTTGGAGTCCCCGGCAGGCAATGCCAGCCCCACTCAAGACAGAGACCTGAGGCCTCACACTTCACCTCTCCCGCCCCTCCGAGGGCCCAGCAATTACTCGAGAATCTGACTTTGGTGATTTAATTGCTTTTTCCTTAAAGATAGAGAATCTATGTAATTTCTCCTTTTTTTCTTTTACTACAGCCTGAGTGGTAAATGCTACCTACTGCCAACAAACATGGGCATCCGCTCTTTCTTCAAAGCCTCTTCCGTGAGACATCTGAACTGAAATAAGAGGTGTTTCATCCAGGATGAATAACCATGGGGACCAAGAAAGGCCTAGACTGAAGAAACAAGTTAACATGTGAGTGTTCTCCAGGACAGGCCCCTCCATGGAGATGCAGTCAGCCATGCAGCCAGGGGACGCAGATCCACAGCTCTCGTGCTGATTCAGGACTGCACAAGCACTGCAGAAGCCAGGGAGCCGGTGTCCTGGGCATCCTGGCAGTTCTTTCCACGTGGGCACAAATGAGCAATGCGCACCAAGCTGCACCGTCTCCTCTGCTGCGATTTCACTGCTAAAGAGCCGAGGAAGGTTAGGATGCAATTAACAGAGCAGAGTGACCTGCGACGGGATTAACCTGCAGCCATAAATCAGCATCCTGGCCTCACGCATGCACCAGCAGAAGGAATCACGCTAGGGGCTTTAAGTCAGCCAAATCAAAAGCGCTACCAGATCTAGAGGGTGTTTTCTTTTCTAGAACCTAGAATAGGTCTCTAGAGACAGATGGACGCTTGGTTTCTGAAAACTGTAAAACAGGGAGGCAAGATGCAATATGCACAGAGAATTAATGTCAGTTGTGTTTATGGCTTTTTTTTTTTTTTTTGCTTGCCAAAAAAGAGTAGATTTCTTATTCTCATGTGGTGAAAGATGTGCTCTGTTTTCTTTAAAATCTAATAGTATTTTTGGTAACAAAATGGAAAAATATGAACCTTCCTTTGTTGCTTTCATTGAGAATTGATAAAAGCTTATCTGTGAACAGACGTTAAATAACCATGATGTCAAAAGAGCAAGATCATTTGTTGAATACTTATTATGTGCTGGGTGTTAACCTACCTTAGCTCTTCGATTTTTTTCACACTTTTCAGAGGTAGGTTTAGTGGGGACCATTTTGTAGATGATGAAACTGAGGCCCAGAAAAATGAAATACGTTTTCTAAAGTCACACAACTAATTAGTGTAAGAAATAGAATTCCAAGGTTCAAAAGATACAAACTGGAAAGTTATCATTTACCATTGAATTTTCATACCTTGTCACATCAGAATTGGTAAGAATCTTACATAGGGTAAAGGTGTCATGCTACAAACTACTTGTTCTTTTTTTTTTTTTTTTTGAGACAGTCCCTCACTCTGTCACCCAGGCAGTGGCACAATCTCAGCTCACTGCAACCTCTGCTTCCTGAGTTCAAGCGATTCTCCTGCCTCAGCTTCCTGAGTTGGTGGGAATACAGGTGCCTACCACCATGCCCAACTAATTTTTGTATTTTTATGGGGTTTCGCCATTTTGGCCAGGCCGGTCACGAAGTCCTGGCCTCAAGGGATCCACCCACCTCAGCCTTCCAAAGTGTTGGGATTGCAGGCATGAGCCACCATGCCCGGCCATCCTAACTGTTCTTGATGACTGATGCTGTGCAGGCTATCTGACTTGCACTGTTCGAGAGTCATTAAATTCTCATGGTCAGAACTCAGTATATATTGTTCTTGCTAGTACTTCATCAATCCCTCTTAGCACCTCTATATTTCCATGCCCATTGTAGAGATAAAGAAAGCAAGGCTCACAGTACGCAATTTACCCAGTATCTCACACAGCAAAGAAGTGCCAGGGCCAGGGAGACACTGAAATGCTCTTGAATTCTAAAGCCTATATCTCTCCCACTCCTTCACACAGATTCCATCAATAAGGAAAGATAGAAGAGAGCCTGTGGCTGTACCTTGCAGATTGCTTTACTTGCTTTTTTTAAAATAGAGTTAAGCTGGGTGCAGTAGCATGCCCCTGTAGTCCCAGCTACTCAGGAGGCTGAGATAGGAGGCTTCTGTGAACCTCGGAGTTCAAGGTTGTAGTGAGCGATGATCATGTCACTGGGCAACAGAGTGAGATGCTGTCTTAAAATAACAATAATGATGATAGATTGACCAAAGTCAGAAGTAGATAGGGAAACAGCCAGGCAGGTAGACTCTGGTCTCCTGAACGCCTGGTGGCTTAATGTCACAAAGAAGGGAGGCCAGTACCTTGGGTACAGAGGCTGCAAAAGGAATACCATAGCATTTCATGCAGAAAACTACACATGGATGCAGGGAAAGATTGGGATAAAAAGGGATTGGACCTTTGACGTGAAATATGAGCTCCGAAAGGCTCACAAGTGGCCAGGGTTACTAAATAATTAATCAAGAGCAGGCGGGTGGCAGTTTGAAATGTAAATGGGATGGAGGAAGGTGTGATGCTGTCATCCGAGAGAGGCTGATGTGGCTGGAACGCTGAGCCACCGTGCCAGCTCCCGGGAAGGCGTGGGCACAAAAGAGCAGTGAGGCCATCCAACAAAGAACCCCAGAACCCATAATTCCTGCCTTTGACCTGCGGTTCACTTTCATGTCCCTGTCCCCAAAGAGATGTTAAAAAATGATGAAGAACTGGCTAGGCATGAGGGAGGGGAAGCAAAGCCATCTAAAGAAATACCTGTGTCAGGCAGCGGCCGACACACTTGAGAACATCTTTAATTTTCCTTATGTTTTCTTGCTTCTTAAAAAACAACAACAACAACAACGCACCTTTTGTCTGCCCTCTCTCCCTTTTCTTCCCAATTTCTCTGGAGTTCTTCCTGCAGGTGGTTCTGTGTGACTCAAAGGCAGAGAACAGCTGCAAGCAAAGGAACAAAAAGGAAGATTGACAATCGGAAAAGGGGCAGGTGAGAGAGACTCCCTTTACCTTATCAAACCAGAAAATGCCGCGGCTTAAATAGTAAAAAAAAAAATAACGTCTGCGGAAGATGAAATGTCTCTCTTCTCACTAAACAGTGATAAAAAAAAAATCTCTGTTTTAGAAAAATATGACAGCTTGGCATTCAAATCACAGCATCTTAGATCCGGAAGGAATGCTCATGCCTAGCATAGCCTGGTACTCAGTAGGTGTTAGATGTATATTCATTCTTTCTGTGTGTTCCTTTCCTTGTTTATTACACCTTCCTGCACAGGCCAGCCAACCTCACCTTAAATTGGCTAGTCTCTCCAAGCTGCGCTGTAAGCTCTGGAAAACAGAGATAACTTTGGTGCCCACCTGGTAGGGTCATGCGTGTCAAGGGCTGAGCCCACGCCTGGCACTGGAGTGAGCTGATGTAGTGATCGGTGTATGTGTCATCCCAGACTTAGGAAGCAACCTGCGCACTCCTTGGTTTGTGTGGGGAAACTCACAACACGGCTGGGCAGCAAAAGCACGGGGTTCCAGGCCGGGGTGGCAGGAGAGGCAGCTGGTGAGGAGGAGTGAGCCGGGGTGTCTGCTGTGGGAGAAGGGACTTGCTAGGCCTGTGGAGGTCGGAGGAGGAGGCAAGGGGGCACTGCCCCGCTGGAGAGCAGGCTCAGGAGGTCCTCGCTGGGTGCCCTGAGGATGGGCATGGAGGGAGGGAGTGGATAGTGTAAAGGACTCTGAAGAGTGGGGCTATTTGTGTTCCTCATCACCACCTCAGTGCCATGGGAGGGGGCGAGGGGGCTGTGGGGGGTGGGGGCCACACTGCCAGCTCCTTCCAGGGCTAAATCTATGGAGGAGGTTTTTAGCAGCCTGGAGGTGGAACTGGTGTTTTCTGCTTCTTCTCCCTCCTGACAGCTGCTCCCCGCCTCCTGCCCCTTTCCTTCCTCTCTGTTCCTCTCGTCTCCTTTTCTCCTCTCCCTTGCTTAACTTTCTTACCTTCTCTAGCAGAAAACCATCAGGAGTCCCTTCCCTAGAAGTTTTATCTTGCAGGAGGTCGTGACCCTGCAGGCCAGGGCCGAGGGCAGCTGAAAGGAGGCAGGGGAAGCTCTGTGTGGTTCTAGGGGGTGCTGCTCCCATCCCGCCTCCTCTCTTCACCCTCCTGCTCCCATGCCCATTACTTCAGATTTTGGCCAACTGGAAATCAACTGTTGACTTGCACAGCTCTGGCTACTTTCTGAATAGGATCTCATTAAAACACACAAAACTAATCCACAATGGAAATAAAAGCAGAACAGAGCCAAGCGTTGCAGCTTTTCCTCTTGTGTAGAACAAATTGCGATGAGGCACACATTGTTCCAGATTCAAAATCCTGGTTCTTAATGTCTTACAATTCAGGGAAACAATGTCACCTAACTCTTAGGTTCATAGACCTTTTTTTTCCAAGAATTCCTTACATGTAGTATGTATTTCTTTAGGAAGTTTATCTAGTTCGTGATTTTAAGGGTATAGAGGTCAGGGCTTTTAAAACTCTGTAATTTAACTATTTCTGCTATAAAATATACATATAGAAATGGTATCAGCTAGAAAAATATTAATTTTGAGAAATTGAAAGCTAACTTAGATTTGATTTTGGGAATCTTTTCCAAACAAAACAACATAATCCTAAAGTCAGAACTCGGAGCTTTTTACTATATTACAAGGAAGGCATGTAGAGGAATTGGTGTGTGTGTGTGTGTGTGTGTGTGTGTGTGTATGTGTGTGTGTGTGACTTCTCAAAGAACTGCAGATTTACACATAGAGCATTATAACCAACTTCATCCTTATCAAGCAGGCGGTGAGAAGCTTACAGTTTAATGTTGTCTGAGATGGATTTAAGTTCAATAACAAAAAAAAGAGTTCCTGGCAATGAGGGTTGTGAGGACATTTGTAGAGGTTGCCTAGGGGGACGGGCCCATCCTTCCCTGGAGAGCTGTGCCACTCCCCTAGATTCAGCCTAAGATGAACGCCAGGAGAAAATTTCCCAGGTTACCTCATCCCACAAATCCTCCCCAAGACCGCCTGGATTTCCACATGGGTTAAAGGGTAGATTGAGTGCACAAAGGCCAAAGGCCAGCCCAGACATTTGCCAGCATGGGATCTTGAGCAAGTCATATGCTCGGAATCAATTTTTCAGTTACAGGGCAAACATGGTAAGAACCATACATCCTTCCTAGGTTTGCGGTGACATTGAAGAGGGTGGAAAAGTGCCTATTAGGGTGGAAACTCATACAAGTGTTGGTCACTAGTAGGTGCAGCATGAAATTCACAAATCGAAGGGCATGATTCCTGTCCCCAAAGGGATTAAAAACCTGCAGAGGTACTAATAATAAAGTTTGCCAGTCCTTGGTCTAAGTTGCAGTTTTTTCCCCACATATGAGAAATCTGTTAAGTTGTAGAAATAAGTCATTCAAAGGCCAGAGTACTACATATCTCATCTTAGGTGACAGACAAGTTCACCCCGAGTCCCAACAGCCCACTTGATAAGGAAGGCCACAGTGTCCATCTGAGTAGTGACCCGAGCTAAACTTAGACTTAGTGTCTGCCCATACAGAGGAGCAAACACTGGTTCCTCCTCGAGGAACTTCCTTGACTGATCTCATGAGTGGGACCCCTCAGTAACATTTTTGCTGTGGGAAAGCCTGCTAGACCCATCAGGGTCTTTGTGCCAGAAAGGATGCATCTCTAGAAACTCCTGGCTCTCATGACCAACTCTGAGGTCGCAACCCCTCAAAATCGGACCAGAGAAAAGGCCAGTGCAGCAGTGCAGACCTCATGAGCAAGTGTGGCCACCAATTTGCCTTTGGAATGTAATTCCTGTTTCCCTTCAATATCCCTGTTGTTACCTGACTGAAAGCCACAATGAGAGCAATATCTGCGTGTCTCTGGTCATCGTTTTGCTTTCCTCTGAAGCTGGAAAAATTATCCTACAGGTGTCAGCTGTGGCAGAAGGTAGCAATAGTTTGTACTATAAGAATATTTCGAAAGGTTGCGCTAAGCCGAGATCACATCACCACACTCCAGCTTGGGAGACAGAGCAAGACTCCATCTCAAAAAAACTTAAAAAAAAAGAAAGACAAATACCACACGTTCCCATTCATACGTGAGAGCTATTAAGGTGACCTCATGGAGGTAGAGAATAGATGACAGTTACCAGAGATTGAGGCTGGGAAAGGCAGAGGAGAACGAGGAATCAAAAATGGTTGGTTAAAGGGTACAAAAACACAATTAGATAGAAGAAATTAGACCTGGTGTTCCGTAGCACAATAGAGTGACTACAGTTAACAATAATTTATTGCATATTTCAAAATAACTAGAAGAGTAGAACTGAAATCTTCCTAAGACAAGGAAATGATAAATGCTGAAGGTGATGGATATCCCAATTACTATGATTTGATCATTACACATTGTATGCTTGTATCAAAATATCACGTGTACCCAAAAATATCACATGTACCCCATAAATATGTATGATTATGATGTATTCATAAAAATTAAATCTTTAAAAAAAATATATTTCCAGGAATATAACCTCAGAGGTAAGATGAAACAGAACTTACTGGGTACAATTAGTGCTCTGCCCATCTTGAGGACAGAACTGTAGACAAATCTGGTCTAGCTTGTCTCCACTGACCATCCCTTCCCGGTTGCTGGTGTCTTTCCACCACATAAGGCTCAGGACCTTGAGATGGCAAGAAACCTCCAATTCACAGGAAGTATGTCATAGGACATACTTCCAACACCCGGTGGAATGAGTGCCTACCAATTCCTAGCCCATACACACAGAGAGGTCTGACCTTCTGGAAGCCAAGTACAGTACAACCTACATCTTCCACCAGAACCATCTCAGGTGTCTCACTCTCATCACTAAGAATTTAAAATATGATGTCTTTTTTGTTTGTTTGTTTTTGAGACAGTCTCACTCTATTGCCCAGGCTGGAGTGCAGTGGTGCAATCTCGGCTCACTGCAACCTCCACCTCCCGGGTTCAAGCGATTCTCCCGCCTCAACCTCTTTAACAGCTGGGATTACAGGTGCCCACCACTGCACCTGGCTAATTTTTGTATTTTCAGTAGAGATGGGGTTTCATCATGCTAGGCAGCCTGGTCTCAAACTCCTGACCTTGTGATCCACCTGCCTCGGCCTCCTAAAGTGTTAGGATTATAGGCATGAGTCACCATGCTTGGCAAAACTGTGATGTCTTTTTTGCATAAAATAAAATTGAGGAAAAATAAAAATGTGTATGGTCTACGTATTTTTAGGAGTTATATGTAAAATGCTCATATGCAGAATGTTTTTAGTACACAGGAAGGAAGAGTAGCAAAATGCTTTCTTGGTGGCATTGCCTCCTCCTCTAACTACTCACAAAATACTGAAAAATGAATGTCCTGCTAAATCCTTTCTTGAGGATATGAGTGGAAAGGATAGAGGACTGCATGTCTCTCTCAATCCCAATCTGGGGTATTAGCTGCATGCACGTGGTCTCAGATGCCATCTCTCTGGGTCAGCTTCTGTCCATCCTGGGCTGGTAGATGGTTCCTCAGCCCCAGCCTGGCAGGGTGAGCTCTGGCGGGAGAGACAGCTGCTGCTCAAACTTGAATAAGGGAGGTTGTGTTCAAAGGGCTCCACCTCCCAAACTGAGGTTTTTGCTCCTGTACTAGATCAGTGTTTGCATTCCTACAGCTTGATGGCTGCATGTTGTTCATCACTGTTATAGAGAAAGATAATCCTGACACATGCCATAACCCACCTGAATGTAAGATGAGGTTCCATTTAGAGAGCCCATGAACTCAGCCCTGTTCCTTTCTTTAACTGGAATCTCTTCCTTGAGTATCCCCAAAACTCATACTTGTTTGCCAAAGCACCTAAAAAGAGTGGAAAATGAAATCATTAAAACTCAAGAACTCAGGAAGAGAGCATGGGTCAGAGTATAACATGTTATGTACTCAGAATCCGAATATCAGGGTAAAAGCCACACCCACGCAAGATCAGCTGTGCAACCAGGAACCACCCTTTTTACTGAGTCCAGGTTTTCGATGCTTATAGCACAGATGTTCCAAATTCTCTCTGCCTTTCCAGGATCTAGGGGTAAGGCCTAGATAAGATAAAGCACTTGACAGCCCCCAGACCAGGCCCCACCCCAGCACAAAGTGCTCAGTGCAGGTTGATTGTAAAGTACTGAGGGAGCATCTGCTAAAATCACACCACTGACGGCAGTGATCAGGGGTTTAACACTGCTAAAAAGCCTGCACCAACCTGTAAAAGACATGGCAAGATCCTCGCTCGTCTCTGAAGCCACACCCTTTGCCTGTCCCTGGAGCCTGCTCTCTGCAGGAGAACCTGGAGCTGGTCTCCAGAACACAGCTGCTCACAGCCTTTTAAGCCAGGGCCCAGAGAGGCACTACCAGAATACCAGATCACCAGGAGGCAGGGCAGCCGAGGCTCCGAAATGGAGGAGGAACCCCTTGTTTACAACCCAGGACCTGCTGCCTGCCTGGAAGGGCTCTGGCAGGAGATGAAACCCCTTAAGCCACAGCTGGGGGAAAGGATCAGGTAGTGAGCTCTTCTCCCGCCCAAATCACAGTGAAGACAGGGCCCACACCTGTGTGGTTATGAGTGCTCTCCTGTGACCAGGACGGAGCTTGGTACTAGGAGGTGCTCACCAAGCACTGATGAATGCCTGACTGTTCTAGAGGGAGAACGAGGACAGGTTGCATATGCCCGCCCCAGGGCACTGATGGGGGAGCCACAGAGAGCCCCAGGATGTAACTGTCCACAGCAGTGGGGCTGGAAGCAGAGGGAGGAGGGCCTCCAGGGGAGAGAAGTGGCCAGAGAGCCTCTGCCTGCTTCCTGCCACTGCGGCAGCCAGCCCTGCAGCGGCGTTTCTGGCTTCATTCCTCAGCCACCTTGCGGAGCAGGCAGGCCCGGCGGTGGCACAGTCTGAAATGCCCAGGCACGGCACAGCAAGACTGCTAAACTCTCGCACTCCCTGGACTCAGCTCAGCCCCGCAGCGCGCATTCTTACTCTCCTGTTTTGGGGACAGATTTTGCAGCCTGTTCGCATCTTCCCAAGCCTCGCTCAGATCTGGGCACATGGCACAGGAAAAGCGCTGCAGAGCGGATCTAGAGAACAGCGGGTGTCGGGAGTCGGGAGGCAGGAATCATCTCAGCAGTCTCTCTCTGGATTGGGAGGAAGAACGTTTCTAATGCATTTGCTTACTGCTGGGGAGGCGGCTCCTCTTCTGACAGAAGCCACTCCCTCTTCCCACCGCCGGCTCCTGGCTTTATTGCTCTTCTCAGGCACTGCCACTGCGGTCACCTACTCATCGAAATCTGCCCCTTCTCCCTCTCTTATTCTCTCCCCTCACCCCTGCCTGTCCTATTAATACTTTCCAAACGCGTCTCCAATCCACTCCTCTCCTTCTCCCCAGCTCCAGGCCACCCTGGCAACTGTGTCTGTGCACTGCCTCAGTATCCCCCCTGCTGAACATGCAGCCCACAGCTCCCTAGTTTCTGACCTTTCTTCTAATCCATACACCAAGATGTCCCAAAGTGTTCTTTGTAAAGAGTAAATCTAGCAGGGCCTTCCCATAGCTGAAGACCATTTGTGACTCTCACGGTCCCTGTTCTCAGCCCAGGCTTCCATTCCCCTTAGAAGGGTGAGTCCTGGCTTCACCAAACTGTCACCTTCTGAGCACTCACCAAAAACCCTGCTAAGCGCTTTCATAAAAATTCCCATTGAGTCCTCGTGATGTCACTGGAAGGAGGCATTGCTGCCTGCATTTTACTTGTGAGGAAGCTGAAACCGGAAGGGCTCCATCATTTGTAGACAGTAAGGCAGTAGCCCAGCCCCGATCCTCAGGCAGGCGGGCAGGCCCGGGCCTAAGGGCACTGGCCCCTCCCACCTCCAGTGGCTCCCAGGGCCACTTACAAGTTTCAAGTCCTCCCCAGCTTCCCAAGGCCAACTGCAAGAAGTTTCTCATTCCCTTCCAGGTGTCCCCATAACTAAATCATGTGTCGCTCTGCAGCTTAGTTGTACATCTTTTTTTCTCCCCAGGGTGGATGACTTGAAGACGAGAATCATCTTGAGTCCTCAGTGCTTAACACAGAGCTGTACTCAGGAGAGTTAATCTAACTAATAAATGGTCAGCAAAATGAATGAGTGGATGAATGAATATCACACATGCAAGTGATCACATTCCCCATCTCTTTCACGAGAAGTCTCAATTTACTGGCTTGGCTGTGTTAGTTATGTTGGAAACAGGTTTACCGGTCACAGAATAGTATCAGGGCAAGGTTACATTTTCAACATCTAAGGGTGGAACGGCCCTTACAATAAATGTGTTGTTGTGTTTTTGTCAGCATTGTCGCTGTTGTTGTTTACTACGGAATGTCGCCGTGCCTGAATCTTAAGCAGATGGGCTTGGGCTCCATTCACAATTTTCCTGCTTTAGAAAAAGTTATGATCACAGAAGGGGACGTTGGCACTTGCCAACTGCCAGAGCCCCGCAGCAGCTTTGGTCTCAGCACAGGTGGATGTGATCTTCTTTACCGGTGATCTGTGCCCGAGCTGCCTGTGCAGTTTGTCCCCCTGACGATGTGGGTGAAGGATGAAGCCAGGGCTCACCCTTCTAAGGGGGACATTGAGATTCCCGGGCATTGTACCAATTCAGCCATATGTCACCCCAGAAAGTAACTGCTTTTTCCATATATGATCATAACTAATGTTGCAAAGCCTGTTTTGCCTGGATCCTTTTACAGAACCTATGCAAAATATGCTGTGCGCTTTCACTCCAGATTTCTTTCTTAGGATGAATGGCTCTGTGAATACACGGGAACAAGCTCTTATTCTGTTCATCAGGAATCATCATTATTCCATAGGCTAATTCCCTACGCATTAGTTAGATGGGTAAAGTTCTGGCTCATGCACAGGAGCTGATGGAAACAGAGATCCTAGTGGCCAAATACATCCTAATGTTCTCCTTTCAATTCTTTCATTTTTTCTGTCTTTACCTTTTAGAAAATGTTAATGTATTCCTGATGAATTCAGTGTGAAAAAAAAATATGTTTATCAGCTTGGGTTTAAAATTTTTATTCATAATAAGAATATAGTAGCACTGCCAGGACCCTCCAAAGCCAATCCTCGGATCTTCACCAGCTCCTCGGGGCATCGTAAACAAGCTGACCGCAGAAGAGTTACTAGAAAGGGACTCCCATGCCAAAACAATAAGCAAGCGTCTTTTCATTAGGTAGTGATGCTTTGTTCTTTCCATGCATAGGGATGAAGGAAGTGTGCTCTGGTATCGATAACCCTGCAAGTTGTCATTTGGTAACTGCATAAGTTGTGCCTTTAGCCAGGGCCAAATGGATGAAAAACTTGTCACTGCTAACAGGCGCTAGTTATTTGGAGCAATCCACACTTTTTCTTGCAAAATCACACTACTCAATTTCTTGACTACATTTCCTCATCTATAAAATGGGAGAGAGGGAAGATAAGCTCTATGGCCCTTTCGTACTCTGCGATCCCTAGGTGCCTCTGCATTTCCATCCAGCCCCGCCCCATCCCACCTCAACTAGGGAGTGGATGCCCACAGTCCCCAACCCTGGCCCTGCCAGCATTGCAAAGCCTGCTGATGATTTGCGCAAGTAAACCCACTTCAGCAGCTTCACTGCTCCCCTTGGTAAATAACTGCATACAGAAAGCCTGCAGGTTCTCAGGCTGCATCCAGCGCCACAGCTGGGTTCTTTAGTTTGTTGTGAAAAGAATTCCAGCATGACACAGCTCCTCTCAGCACAAAGACATGCTGAAGCACTAGGAAAAAAAAATGTTTAAAGAATGCTTCTGAAAGCCAGGCAGCCAGGAGAGAGATGTAGGCTCAGGCCAGCCTCCTCCCTGCCGGGGTCTGGACCTGTTGCCTGGGCTCTGTTCCTCTCAATGGTAAACAGAGCCGTTCACGAATCACCAAGGCTCAGAACCGCGGGTCTGGCCACAGGGGCGCCTTGGACGCCTCCTGGGCATCTGCGGCAAACAGTGCCGCCTGCACTGTGGTCAGAGCTGGGACAGCCAGTCCCGCCCGTTGTTTGATTTCTAAACCTGCCTCCACCTCCCCAAGGCCTCTGAGAGCTCAGGGCTTGCAAATCAACACAACATTTAATTAACTGCACATTAAAGTTTCCATCTTTCAAAGAAGGGAATTAGGGACAGTGCACTTTCTGAAGCATTCATTAATGAAAAAATAAATTCTAAAGCCTCCCGAGTTCGGGGTGGTCCTTACCATTCTAGGTGGCTTCCTGCCTTAATGCTCAGGGCTGGGCAAGATCCCTGAAATGAGCTGCGATCTTCAGGGTCCCCTTCCAGACAGGTGTTTTTAACCCTGTGAGAGCCAGCTTGGTTTTTCCTCACACCATGCAGCCTGAATAATCCTTAAGAGTTTTCAGGAAATATTCAGAAGTGTTTCCAGTTATACTGAATTATGAATTCTTTTTTTATTAAAATAAAAGGTATACAGATGTTACTTTTAAGAGAGGCATGAATAATATAATTAAACAACTGTTTATGCTACCTATGAGACGTGTGTAAGCTGCTATTACCCTTGAGAATGACAGAGGCACACACGCTGCTGGCATGGAGGGACATGGCCATCAGCTTGACAGTGGGGAGCGATAGAGACCCAAAGAAGACCAAGGGAAAGACAGTCCCCACCAGACATGGTGGCTCATGCCTGCAATCCCAGCATTTTGGGAGGCCAAAGCAGGTGGATCACTTGAAGCCAGGAGTTCAAGACCAGCCTGGCCAACATGGTAAAATTAAAACCCCGTCTCTACTAGAAACACAGAAATTAGCTGGGTGTGGTGGCACATGCCTGTAATCCCAGGTGAGGCAGGTGAATGGCTTGAACTGGGGAAGCGGAGGTTGCAACGGACCGAGATCACACCATTGCACTCCAGCCTGGGTGAAAGAGCAAGACTCTGCCTCAAAACAAAAACAAAAACAAAGACCCAAAGAAATTCAGTGCAACATCTCTCAAGCACGGCAGCTCTCCATGTGCCAATTCAGGCTGTGGCTAGACACACAGACACACACACACACAGACACACACACACACACATATCACTCATTCACATATCCTGCCTGGAGGCCAAAGAACAGTGAATGGGAAGAAGGTTGTTCATGAGGCTGTGCTCCTACTTCTACCACAAACCTATTCCCTGTTTTTACTCATCTGAAAAACCATGGTACCCACCTGTACATGCACCAAGATCACCTGCAGCTCTTTCTATGAGTTGCATCATTTTTAAAAGGAATTACGTTGCCATGCTTTTTTTTGTTACTTATCTGTGTACATGGCTCTTCCCAACATTGTCAAGCTTTAAGAAAAAGGAAGGGATCTGATTTAATTTCATATTATGCTTTGTGTGTATCTAGCCATTCCACACATTTTACTTAACTTACGTGCCAGACACTGCACCAAGCGTCAAGGATATTGATGCTGGTCCTGCCCTTCTAGAGGTGGCAAACAAATAGCAGATAAATGAATGGACTGTCAATTATAATTATGGTTAGGTAGGAACAAGGGCCTCAGATAAGAAATGGTAGAGAAGAAGAGGCCGACTTCCAATGAGAAGCTTCAGGACAGCCTCTGGAGGGGATGTTGGAGGTCATCCCGTAGAAGGAAGAGAAAGGGCTAGCCATGCACTAAGTGGGGAGAGTGGCATCCCTGGTCGAGGTATCTTGCACATGACAGAAATGCAGTCAGTGATTCTTGATTTGTTAATAAAAGTTAATATAATATATCTAATACATTCGAATTACTGATACAATCTAACCACAGTAGGCGTATACCTAGAAAAAGCACCCAATAAATGAATTCTTTGCTATCCAGGAGGTGACGGAGCCTTGTGCAAATAGGCTCCTTCTCCTTGATGGGTTCACTTAAGACACTAAAACTCACCAAGCTCAGAGCTCTTGTACCCTCAGCCTTTCCCTTTTCCTCTCTTTTCAGCTCTCCGGTCATTGCCCAGCATGTACGTATTCAGTTATCAGAATACCAAAAGCTTCTAGGTGTTCATCCAGAATTCCTTTCAATCCACCATTTCTATCCAGTCTGGATTTTTCTCTCCAGTGTAACATCACAGAAGAGGCAGCATCTCAGTTTCTTACACGGATTCCTGAAGTAACCTGCAATGTCATCACATATTGCAAGAACACAGAGTGAGGGTGTGTAATCATCAGACACCATAGCTTGTGCAGCTGGCTGTGGGTCATTGAAATGTGTGTCTCATCTTGTGATGAGAGAGGGAACTGAAGGAGTCCAAACTGCTCGGCCACTTGGCTGTCGTGGCACAGGTGCCCCATTCCTCTGGCCTCCCATTCAGCTTTGTCAAAAGGGGAATGTAGGTGGAGGCGAGGTAGGAAATATCTAGTGAGGGGAGTTTCCCTGCCTGGACCCTGACTGATACGGCCACCCAGGAGATGACTGATTTTCTTATCTCTTCTCATTACTTAATAATTGTTGCCTTTGTGCCCAGGTTGTCATGTAGCCCTTGGGGAAGAAGAAGAAGGGCTTATAAAGACTAAAATTCTGTATCTGCAGTCACCTGATGTGCACAAGCAGCATCTGGCTGGAAGCTGGGCCCACCTACCCCTTGAAACAGTCAGATGCTACTGTTCTCCTGCCCCACTTCCTTCCTGTCTGTCACCAACCCTTCTGGGGGCCTTCTCTGTGTCAAGCCCTATGTCATACTGTTGGAAACACACATAGGATGACGGACACAGTCCTTACTCTCAAAATTCCAGTCTAGTGGGGATGTGTGAGCAGATGATGGAGACAGAGTGAGAACTACTATGATCGAGGTGGGCAAAGGGTATGAAGAGGGCACAGGCAGTGGTCCCATTACACAGCCCGGGGGGAGCTGATGGAGGGCTTCTCAGAGAAGTAGAGGCCAGGAGCAACTTGCAACTGATCAAGAGATAAAACTGACACTGAGTAAGCAACAGGAAAATTTAAGAGGTGCTACATCAACAGGTATATTACTGAAATGTCTGGTCCTTATTGGTTCCCATACAGGTCTGGGGGTTGCTGAAATGGATTCTGATGACTGCATCAGAATCAGGGAAGGCCCCACTCCCACCAAGAAAGTCTAGTCTAGTGGGTACATATTGAAGCTTACGAATCTATTTGCTTGTTTTAATTCTCTAAAAGGGGGTATAGCAGGTGCTTGGTTATCTCATTCTCATAACGTTCATTTGAGAGTCAGGGAACTACTCCTCCCTATTGAAACTGTGAGCAGGGATCAGCCTGAACAATGAATATGAGTCATTCAGACCCAGGAATAGTATGATTGAACCCCACAAATGGCAGGCCAAATGCTTTCTGCTGCAAAATTTTGATGGATGATGCTTCTTTAGCTTGGGCAGAGGTTTAATTTGTGTTGCTACGGAATACTTTCAATTGTCAACAACAAAAGGTGATATTTCCAATATTCCTTGAGAATAGGCTTCAAAGGCATCAGCTCTTTTTTTTTAAAGCATTTCAGCTTTATTTTGATGTGGCAGAAAAGTTTTGCATGCATCCTTGCATCCACTGTTGTGACAGCTGCGTTTAATGAGTGCAAAATGATCAGAAAAACATCCTCTGCTGTGGGTTGCCAGTTGGCGACAGGAGAGAGGTGATGCTGTAATCGGAGCAGTAAAGTCAGGTACACATCTGCGGAGGCAGAATTCTGCTCTCTGGTCTGTCCCGGGCGGCTCAATGCATGGCCTAAAATCCAAGTAAGACCTGTAGACCCATGTCCCACAGTACCCTTCCTCAAGCAGCAGGGCAAAGACTCAGCTGGACCACCTCTGGCTGTTCCTGCTGGAAGTTCATCCAAAGTCAAGTGTTCCTAAATCTTCCACATATCTGTCTTAAGGAGAGAGTATCTTTCTGGCTACTCTAACATAACTAACAAACTCGAGAAAACCAAAAATAGCGGGGAGGGGGGCTAATTTTAAATAATTCATGTATAAAGGCCTAAATCAGAAAATAAAGGACTTTCTTTAAATATAGTCATGATAGATCAAATTATCGTTTAACAAATATTCAGTACCCCTCCTGCACCCCAGCATGGAAATATACTGGCATCCAGTGGGAAGAGCTTACTTTTTCACCCTACTGATGTTGAGCTTGACTATGGGATCCCTTTGGCCAATGAAATGTGGGCAGAAATGACCATATGTCAATTTGGAGCCTAGGTCTTAAGGCATTGCATGTTTACACATACCACTTTGAGAGCTGCTACTTGCACCTTAAAAAGATTATAAACCAGATAGCTCTATGCCCTCTGATGATTCTTGCAGAATGAGACAGGTGAAACAGACCTGAACACAAACTGGCTTGAAGCCAAGTTGCTCCAACTGACCCATGCACCTGCAAAGCATAACTGGAGGAGAAGGGCCTACCTGTGCCCACTTAGATTACCCATGGCACAGCTGACCTGTAGCCCAGGAAGCAGGAGCATAGACGATGGTTAATTTAAATCACTGAGATTTAGAATTGGTTGTTATTCAGCATCATTGTGTTGCTTCATAAGCTTTTGATAGAGATTACCAACAATGAATGCCTGATTATGTGCCAGAGAAATTTTTCCAGCTGTGCTAATGCCTCCTACAGCTCTGTCAACATGGTGGGAGGGTGCTTTGGATTAAATGCTTGTGTCCCCCCAAATTGTATATGTTGAAGCCTTAACCCCCAATATGATAGTATCAGGAGGTGGAGACTTTGGGAGGTGATTTGTGTTAGATGAGGTCATGAAGGTGTCACTGTCACTATGAGATTAATGACCTTATAAAAAGGGAAAGAAACCCAATCTCTGTCTCTGTCTCTGTCTCTCTCTCTCAGCCATGCGAGGACACAGGGAGAAGACATTCATCTGCAAATCAGGAAGAAAACCCTCACCAGGAACTTTGATCAGCCAGCATCTTGATCTTGGACTTAGCCTGCAGAACTGTGAGAAATAAATCATTGTTTAAGCCCCCCAGTCTATGGTGTTTGTTATAGCAGCTGAAACTAAGACAGAAGGAAAGTAGATGGAGCAAATACTCAAGTCTATCAATCAGATTTACACAAAGCAAGACAGGTAACAGCTCCATGCTGAGCTACATTTTTCAGCTTTTGGTTCCATTTTGGGGTCATGGAGTCAGTCACACTTACAAGTAATGGAAGGGCAGCTTCAGTAAGGTTGCCAAGGCAGCTCCTTGGTGCCAGCATTCCTTATTGATTATTACTTTCTTGCATCTTATTTTTTTTTAATATTTTATTTAGAGACAAGCTCTCTCTCACTCTCATCCAAGCTGGAGTGCAATGGTGCAATCTTGGCTCACTGCAGCCTGGACTTCCTGGGCTCAAGAGATCCTCTCACTTCAGCCTCCGGAGTAGCTGGAACTTCAGGTGCATGCCACTACAATCAGCTAATTTTCTTTTCTTTCTTTCTTTCTTTTTCTTTTTTTCTTTTTTTCTTTTTTTTACTGAATCTAGCTCTGTTGCCCAGGCTGGAGTACAGTGGCACAATTTCCACTCACTGCACCTCTGCCTCCCGGGTTCAAGTGATTCTTCCACCTGCACCACCACACCAGGCTAATTTTTTGTATTTTTAGTAGAGACGGGTTTTTACCATGTCGGCCAGGCTGATCTTGAACTGCAGCCCTCATGATCCGCCCACCTCGGGCTCCCAAAGTGCTGGGATGACAGGCGTGAGTCACCGTACCCAGCCCTCCTTCTTACATCTTACAGGTGAAAACTAAAAGTAACTACGTGTATCCATCTCTTTCCGTTGAGCTGGTTTAATTTCTGTATGGCTCCATTTTCAATCTTCTCTTTCCTCAGTCACGGAAAGACAACAAAAATAATTTGTCACAGAGAACCATTACAACAATTTACTCTTGCAGGGAGAATCCTGTGGGTGTCTGAAAGCTTACTCTAAGTTATATTTGCTTCATTTATGCTTCTATTGACGAATAATTAGGGCAGCAATTAATTTTAAAATGCAAATGAGCAATGGGTCTCACTGTTTTGTTTTGTTTAAAATATCCTTTGTCTTCAGTTGTACTGGTGTCTTAATGGATTTAGTTTAGCAAAGGAAAGAAATTATTTTTTCTAATGCTTTATTTACTTGATTGAATCGGACTTTTTATCAAATATTGACTATAAATGTTTGTTCAAGATCACATGCTGTAGAAATTAATAGAAATAAAAACCTGGAGTAGAGAACCACCAAATTTTGTTTTTTTTGTTTTTTTGGTTTTTTTTTGTTTTTTTAGGCGGAGTTTTGCTCTTGTTGCCCAGGCTGGAGTGCAATGGCGTGATCTCAGCTCACTGCAACCTCTGCCTCCTGGGTTCAAGTGATTCTCCTGCCTCAGCCTCCTGAGTAGCTGAGATTAAAAACACCCACCATCTCGCCCAACTAATTTTTTGTACTTTTAGTAGAGACAGGGTTTCACCATATTGGCCAGGCTGGTCTCAAACTCCTGACCTCAGGTGAGAACCACCATTTTTTATGTGTCTTGTGGGTAATTTGTCTGAATGATGATCAGTGACAGAAGAGGTGATGGCCTTGTACCTGGCTATCTGAACTAATTGTTGTTTTGTAGTCAAAGGGAAAGTTCTTTATCTTTGAAAATATTTCAGATATTCTTTGAGAAAACTTTCCAACTATAATGATAAGTAAAAGTATTATTTATTTCTTTTATATCCTCCAGTACTGGGAAGATTGGAAACATCATAAGAAGTTCACCAAATATGCCTTTCATTTGCTCATTCATTCAGCATTGACTGACGTGTAGTATATGTTAACACTCCCCTCTATGCTAGATTTACCAGTCTTTGCTTTCAAAGAGTTCATAGTCTACAGGGAAAGTCCAACAAGGAAAACCTCTGTTGTTTCTTTGTCATGGCACTACCCGGCATCATTTCCCATGCACGTTTATCCTTTCTCCTCACCTGGAATGTGACCCTCAGGGGGCAGGAACTGTGCCTGTATTCTCACCATGTGAGCCGTATTCTCACCATGCGAGCAGGACCTACCACAGAAGAGGCAGGCACTCAGGAAATATCTGTGGCTGTCGGAAAAGAAAATAAGTGACATTTTAGAGATGTAAATAGCATGAACTGGAAGCTCAAAGGGCAGATATGTCTCTCAGCATAGAGTGTGGTGGAAGATAGGTTGATTGGAAAGGTACGCGGGAGTTGATGGGGATGGTAGCCGGGAGCCCATGAGGGGATATACAGGAGGTTACCTCAAGAACAAAGTCTGGAAGCACACAGCAGGTGTGAAGTCACGGAGGAAGGGGCCATCTGAATGAGACTCCTGATGAGAATGCTGAGGAGGTTTCACTGGAGTATGGGATGCTGTGGGGCATGGCCAGAGCTGGGGCTAGATGGGGAGCAAGGCCTGAAGCAGCAGTCATCTTATACCCAGGTGGAGAAGCTGTTCTCTGTAATCGGTGTTGATTACCAATTGACTGAAACATTTAAATGCCAAATTATTAACTAGTATAAGCATTTAAGAAAAAGAGACTGGGTGCAGTGGCTTATTTCTGTAATCCTAACATTTTGAGAGACCAAGGTGGGAGGATTGCTCAAGCCCAGGAGTTCGAGACCAGCCTGAACAACCTAGTGAGACCACCCCCACCTCTATCCAAAAAAAAGAAAGTTAGCCAGTCATGGTGGCACAGGGCACACACCTGCAGTCCCAGCTACTCAGGAGGCTGAGGCAGGAGGATCAATTGAGACCAGGAGGTAGAGGCTGCATTGATTTGTGATTATCTCATTGCATTCTAGCCTGAGTGATAGAGCAAGACCCTGTCTCAAAAAAAAAAAAAAAAAAAAAAAAAATGTGATCTGCCTTTGACAGATATCTGAATCCCTCTTTTATAATAAACCTCAAATGCTTTCCAATGACACAGAACTTAGTTTGAAGGCACAGCCAAGACATCACCCACTGTCCCAAAGAAAGCACATGGTCACTGATCACACATGTCAGCTGTAGCTGTTTTTATTCCATTATCTAAATAGTTAAAGAGAAGCCAGCATTTTGGTCTGAATTCTCTGAATAATTCCACAACTCGCCATTTATTTTTGGTAGAGATTCACGGTTAAAATAGTAATAATAGGTACCTTTAAGACTAAACGTTATGCATATGAAAGTCTATTTTTAAACATCTAAATTATTTGCCTCTGTTTTTCACCCATGTAAGAAAATATTTTATACCTCAAGAATGAATGAAAGACTATCACATGAGCTGGGGTTTCTTGTAAATTGCTTTTTGTTGTTGTTTCGTGGATTTTTCTGTTTTATTAGGAAAAAAAAACAATTAAATGGAGCACATATGCAGATCCAATCACTGCCACCCGCCTGCTGCAGGTGGAGGTCGTGAGTAAGTGGTGGCAGCCTACTTCTGATCTCATTATGAATTCCTCTCATGTGGACACAGACTTCAGCCGGGGATGACAAGGATTTTTGAACTTCGAAAAAAATAAAGGAGGAATCATAATAAATATTTTACTGTCTAGTCAACCCAATTTATGAAGCCTGATTATCTCTCTCAGGCTCCGGAGATTGCTACCGGAAATCTCCCCAGATGTTCCCCCTTCTAACCCAACTCTCCACTGTCTGGCAGGAAGGCAGCAGGGTATCTACATTCCGGAAGAGCCCAGCTGCCTGGGAAGAGAGAGGGAGCAGCCTGCTCGATAGCCCTGCCTGCTAACCAGTCCTCATTTGAGTTCACGGACCAGGAAGTGACCCAATTTTCTTCTGCTCAGGTTGATACTGTGCTCCAAGCTGGGGTCCCCTGGGACTATGTGGAGGGAGAGCCCCTGAGGCAGCAGGGAACTAATCACCCTCACTTCCCAAGTCAACAGATATCCTGAAATGGTGCTGTTTGAACAATATGGGCAAGAACATGACGATTGCTTCTGGGGTTCTTTGTATGGGCCCAGACACTTTCATTTCTGTTTCTAAGCTACACAGCCCCAGGGATTTTAGTAACGATTGGACTCTGTATACTTGAGTTATTTGTTGTTGGTGTAACTTTGAAAATTCAGCTTATCGTCTAAATGTCATTATATTATATAAAACACATAGCATAATTCTTTTAATATGGGCATGCTTTCTTCCCCTTTGGAACACACCTATATATGTTAGTTTGCCCTTCCACCATCTAGTCCTTGGCTGTGATCCCTACAGTACACACTCACTAGTGCCATGAATAACTTGGACCTAATGTGAAATTCGACAGAAACTAACACCCTTAGGAGAGATCATCTCACCACAAATGGCCCTTGGGAGTCAGACCAGCCAAATTAGAATTCTTGAAAGAGCTGTTCCAAAAAAATTCTTGCTTGGGTTTTTTTTCAAGCCACAAAGCCAAAAGTTTGAAGGTGAATTTGATATTCCTATTGCCTGGCTGCATGAAATAAACGCACAGTGAGCTTGTGACAAAGAACGTCATCCTTGCAGTGCCTCGGCAGAGCCTCTGAAGGCCACAACTAGAATCTGAAGGGCAGGTAACCTGAGCTCACACTGGAGATCAGAGTCTCAGCAAACTCAGAGGGTTCACATTTACTTGGCAATCTCTGAAAAGATAGGAATTGGGGTTGTCTTGCATATTTCTTTTTTTTTAACCCAGTTTTCAAAAGATGAGGAGATTCTAGTGCTGTAGCTGATGATATATCACCTACTGACCAAGGCTTCAAGGTACCATTTGTGTCTGCTAACGATCAAGCTTTACCAAAAATAGAATTGAAACATGAATGAAATATAAATCATTTTGGATTTCTGTGTGTTTTTCATAAGAAAGTCTCCATAGACCCCATAACTTTGAATTATTAAAATGAGAATTTTATAATACTAGTATAAAGACTGAGCTATTTTACTCACAAAAATGAGAGTTTTAGGTAGACATTTATGTACTTGGACATTAATGAGGAAGGGAAATCTTTTGATCAACAACCACCAAAAAAAAACCTTCTCAAAAGAAAACTGTAGAAAAAGAATCAATTGCCAATTTACCTAATTAAAAAATGTCCAGGCCGGGCATGGTGGCTCATGCCTATAATCCCAGCACTTTGGGAGGCTGAGGTGGATGGATCACCTAAGGTCAGGAATTTGAGACCAGCCTGGCCAACATGGTGAAACTCTGTCTCTACTAAAAATACAGAAGTTAGCTGGGCATGGTAGCAGGCACCTGTAATCCCAGCTACTCCCAAGGCTGAGACAGGAGAATCCCTTGAACCTGGGAGGCAGAGGTTGCAGTGAGCCGAGACCATGGCACTGCACTCTAACCTGGACAACAGAGCAAGACTCTGTCTCAAAAAAAAAGTGTCTAAACTAGAGTTTTGAATTTTTTCAATGAGCATTCCTGACCCTCCAATAGAAAACTTTATGTAATTATTTTCTTTTAGATATGTCATTTTCATTAACACCACTGTGATATAGACCTAATAACAGTGAAAATGCTGATGACAGTATTTAGAAAATAATTGTGGTGAGACAGTATTTTGTGCTTGACTTCATGCTACTCCTTTTGTGTTGCACTCTCTATCTCTGCCCATATCTCTTTAACTCATGACCTCTCGAGAAAGCAGAACGTAAGAATCACATGTATCAGAAAGGACAAGACATTTCTCATGCTTTGCGTTCTTTCCATTTTGTTCCATGCTGTTTTTCCTCCATTTATGATCTAAGTCTTTAGACATTTCTCTCTGAATGGAACTGATTACACCTATAAATAAAGCATTGATAAAATGGCCTGAAGTTTTAAAAATATGATTTGACTTGTAAAATAAAACTGCTACCCTGCCAAGGGTCTCCCAGATCCAATTATCATTTTGTTGTGTTCTGTTGCTTGATTTTTTTTTTTTTTTTGCACCAGTTACCAAGGATATTCTGAAGGCCTGCATCTAAGTTGCATAGGCTCAGAAAATACTCAAGCTGAAGAGATTATATTGGCATGCATGGGAATGTTGAGTTCTGGTTACTATTGTTTTAATACTGGCTCACTGTGAGTCATCATACTAAGCAGTTTCACAGAAAAGAAAAAGGTTTCTGAATAAATTTTATGGGGGATACACAGGAAGTTACCCAGATATTTAAGAAGAGACTAAAAATAAGAAACAGGTGAAAGAGAACTCAGGGAAAAGTTTTGTCAAATAAGGGCTGGGTGCTCATGTTTCTCTGAAATGAGGGTTAGAATGATGGGTGCTAAAAAAATCAAATGTGTACCAAAATTAATATATCACGACATATAAAATATTGACAGAAATTCTTACTGGATAATGGAGGATTGCCAAGGAGCTAAAGGTTAGAAGGGAAGATTTAACAGGATTTAGAAATCATAGAAAGAATGGCAGAATGACACCACATTAACAGAATGAAGAGCCAAAAAAATTATTATTTTTCTCTCATGATAAAGAAAAAGTATTTGACAGATTCCATACCTTTTCATGATTATAAAAACTAGTCAACAAACTAGGAGTAGAAGGAAACTACCTCAACATAATAAAGGCCATATATGAAAAGCCCACAGCTAAAGTCATACTCAATGGTGAAAAACTGAAGCATTTTTTTCCCAAGATCAGGAACAAGATAAGGATGCCTACTTTTGCTGCTTGTCTTCAGTATTACTGGGTGTCCTAGACAGAGCAATTGGGCAAGAAAAAGAAACCAAACACACCCAAATTAAAAAGGGAGAATTAAAACTATCTCTATTCACAGATGACATCATCTTATACATAGAAAACCCTAAAAATAATACCAAAAAATATAATTTTTAGAATAAACAAATTCAGCAAAGTTGCAGAAGGTAAAATCAACATACAAAAATCCGTTGCATTATTATATACTAACAACGAACAATCTGAAAAGGAAATTAAGAAAACAATTCCATTTACAATAGCATCAGGAAGAACAAAATACTTAAGAATAAATCTAAACTGAAAGGTGAGAGATTTATACACCAGAAACTACAAAACATTGACAAAAGCAATCAAAGAAGACTTTTAAATAAATGAAATTACACCTCATGTTCATGGATTAGAAAATTTAATACTGTTAAGATGTCCCTACTACTCAAAGCAATCTACATATTCGGTGGAATTTTCATCAAAATCCAAATGGCAGTTTTGGAAGAAATAGAAACAAAGTTCTAAAATGAAATATCAAAAAACCCCAAATAGCCAAAATAATTTTTAAAATGAAGAAAAAAATTGTTGTGTTCACACTTCGTGGTTTCAAAACATAGTACAAAGCTACTGTAACCAAAACAGTGTAGTAATGGCATAATGACAGACATATAAACCACCTCTTTCCCCCCAAAATAGAATAAAGAGCCCAGAAATAAGCACTTGCCTATATGGTTAAATGATCTTCTGCAAGAATGCCAAGACCACTCAATGGGGAAAGGTCAATCTCTTAAACAAATTGTGCTGAGACAACTGGATATCTACATACAAAACAAGTAAG